CCGGTGAAGTGTAGGGCATATCTAAGGTTACGGGGGATACAGAGCCAACCAGTCGCTCTCAGGCTGGCTCTCCACCAGCTACCTGGCTATCTAACTTACCCCAAGGCAGTCAGGTGAGGGAGTGGGAAGCCTCTAGGGGTCACTATGTAAGCCTGCAGCACAATAAAATGAATTCCTGAATCAAGTTCTCAACAGGGACCCTTCAACAAATGGCCACTGTGACCAAAAGACTACTTCCATTTTATAGATGTTCAACAGAAACACAGCAACTAGAAAAACTGGAGAAAAAGCAGTTGAAGTCTGCACCCCCCCATACCATACCACCAATCAGATTTAACTGATGTCCACAGAGAAGATGGTCCAGCAGATCTCACCCAGGGCCAGAGAGAACAGAGCTGGACATACAGCTAGCTGACTACAGGTGAGTACAGACCAAGTAGGAGACAAAACATCAAAAAGCACACTTCCCACAAAAAAATACACAAAGGACAAAAGAAAAAGAAACCAAAGCTCAATATCATTAATCTTTTAAAAAAGATTTGTTTTTATTTGCAGATGGACATAATATCTTCATTTATTTATTTTTATGTATTGCTGAGGAATAAACCCAGAGCCCCTCATGCACGAGGCAGGTGCTGTACCGCTGAGCCACAGCCACAGCCCAACATCATTAATTTTTAAAAGATAATTTAAATAGAAAGGTGCTGGTCTTTACTTTTCAGGATTCATGAGTCTGGCTGGCAAGGTGTTCAACAGCTCCTGCTCTCCTGCCTGAGGATGTGAGTGAGCACAGCATCTCTGAAGGCCAGCAGCCCTGTTCCTAGAGCCACTCTGAACACCCCATCCAAGTGGGCTCTGGTGGGGTGCAGGTGCCCATGCTGCCCCCAGGGGCACACAAAGTCCTGCAATCTATTCTACAGACAGCTTCTCCACCTTCCACAGTAATCGAAAAACTCAAGTGGAAAAAAAGTTAATAGCTACTCCTCAGTGCTGAAGATATCACTCAGTAGCATAATGTTACTGCATCTCACATACAGTGTTTCCGTTCTTACAACTAACCCTGCAAGAGACAGCAGAGGCTGAGCTATGCGACCTGTGCCTCACAGATTCCATAATGAGATCACAAGGCTCTGGGACCCAGCCCACCGTGCCCATTCACCCCCCCAGACCTATAAATGTGATCCAAATAATCACATGGCACTTCTGACTTCTGACACCACAAACACCAAATCCCACATTGACATTTCATGGAGTGTGATCTGCTGAATGCTAGTTTTGCAAAGTGACAAAAATTGTAAGAAATGAGGGCATGAGAGTTACATAAGTTTCAGAATCCTTGAGTTTACACTCAAATCAGCCCCTTCCTGCAGGACTATAGAACAGCTCTCAATAAGGGTAGGACATATCACAGGGGATCGGAGGCCTGAGGTCTAAATCCCAGCCAGCACTGTGAAATCCATGGAGCCTCCAGCTGTACCACCATCCTGGTATGTAGCAGGCTCCAGTTTCATCTACTCTGCCCCACCTACAACCACTCTGAGTGTTCATGGGGGGTGGGGCACATATACACCTGCATGTGTGCATGGTGGTACATTTCAAGTATCACTCCTGCTGAAGCAAAAGCCCTGTGGCCCTGGCCATGCCTGACATCAGGGAAATCCTCAAAATCTGTAAGATCAGAGGTTGCTGGCCCGGAGCCTGGAAGGAGACATGCACAGGGCTGTGAGGGGCTCCAGGGATATAAGGATCAGCACATGGCCTTGGCCAGCCGGGTTTCTAAGGTCCTTCAGCAGCACTGGGGACATGTGGCAGACTACCCTCAGGCCCACTGCGCAAGAAGCAGGGAAGGGGCAGGCAAGGCTGCAGACCAGAGAAGGGCCATCACCCTCTGGGTCCTCCTCCCAGTCTTCTGGAACATGCTGGGGAGCCAGGGCCTATATGTGACCACAGAAGCCTGAGTAGCCCAGGACAGCTCAGTATGTGTTTCTACAGAAAGGAACACCTGCAGACAAGCCTGGCATCCCCAGGAAGGTGGCCCTGTAACCCCTAGGAGAGCACTCAAGGGCCTCAGAGGCCCCAGCGCCAAGGCAAGGACACCAGTTCCTGTGTACTTCTCCCCTGGGAGCACTAGGGGCAGTCTCCAGGCAACACCAGGACACTGGCCTCACTTAGGACTTCCCCACACCCATATGCTCAAATGTATTTTCTTTTTTAAATTCTGAACAACAGCATCCTGATGGAAACACTCAAAGGGGCACTTTTTCCCATTCATCAATCAACTTCATGTGATTCTCCTCTTTTCTGGAGAAAGACAAGCCTGCCCTCCTTCAGAGTCTGGACACTGTGCCTGGGCTGCACTGAGAAGCCTGCCTGGGAGTGTGCCCCACTTGTTCATGCTCCAGGTGAACGACATCATTGAACACAATTTTATCTCGGAAGCTATTTCCATTCAACCTGAGATAAGTCCACTTCAGGGCACCCAGTCCCATCACGGGGTAGCTAGGGACCTCCACCCTCAGCCAAGGGACAAGGAGGAGGAAGGGAAAAATCTTCAAAACGTGGTCTTACAACTTTCTTCAGACAACAGTGAGAGCCTCCTCAGAAGTCTCCTGGCCCAGAGACAAAGCTTAAGGTATCCAACATTGCTGCAGTGGTCAAACCTTCACACCAAATTCTTACATGATTCAACTCACTAGTTCGACTTCTAAAAATCCCAGACAGGGGCAAAACCCACTCCCAGGGCTATTCAGCATCTGGCCCAGGGCAGAGCAGAAAGAGAGAACCTGCAGCTCATGAATTCAGGGAGTCTCACATTGGAATGTACACTTCAAACAGGGACATTTTACTTAGTGTGAATCATACCTCACTAAGGTTGGCTTGGTGCTACTGGTTGGATGCTAATTAGCAAAAGGCAGATACATGATCACTCAAACTGCATCCAGAAAGTGGGGAACTGCCTGAGCCTTTCTTCTGGGCCCCTTCAACTGACCACCCTCATGAAGACTTCCTATCAGCACAGAAGCCTTGGGACCATCAGAAGGAAAAATGCCAGACCTCTTTAACCTTAGGATGAGGCTATGATAGCTCTCTCTTCATTTCCTCTGAAAATTCACCCTCCAAATTATGTCTGCTTTAGCAACTGTTAAACTAACCTCAACTTCCTCGCAGAACACAAATGAGAGTAAGAGGAAGCTGGCTTGAGAGAAGCAAGAAGACAGTCCCCAACTGAGTACCATCCAGAAGGTTGGGCTTCCTTTCAGGGGAAAGTAAAACCACACCAGCTAAGAGTCCGCCAGGCAGAGGGCCCCTTCCCAGCACTAGAATCAGTCCCAGGAAATGCTCACAAAGAGGAAGTATCAGATACAGATAAGCCACTCATCAGGCAAAAAGGCAGATCTGGAGACTGTATTTGAGAGTATTCCACCTTCTCCAGAGAAATATTCTAAGAAGTTCAGTGGCTGCGGAGGTCCCACACTAGCCAGCTGTAAAATGGGCGCCTGAGCCCCCCGAAGGTGTGAATGGGCCCCTCTGAGGAAGTAGACACCTCCACCCTCGCCTCTCATCTGGAACAAACCCCAAAAGAGAATGCCATCTCCCCAGGCACCCTCAGGTCAAAGCCCAGCTTACCAGAAGAGTATCCGTAAAATATTGGCCACCAGTAGCACCAGACACACGTGGGTGGAAAAGCCGTCGGCGTTCTGAGTCCTCCTGATGTCCCTGTACTGCGGGATGTACGGCACCACGCCCCCAAAAACCATGGCTGCGGCGGCCCCCCAGGAAACCAGCCGATGGAGCGGGACCAGAAGCCAATCCAAACCTTCTGCCTCCATCCCGGGCACCGGCAGCCCTGCCGTCCGGCCGACGTCCACCTGGCACAAGCCCCAGCGCTCTCACGGCTCCAGAATCCGCACAGTGACGTTCACCTCTACATCGCAGCCGCTATCCTGCGCAATCCTCCACCAGCGGGGTCTGGCAATGGAGGACGAGAGTAAAGAACTCCTGGTAGAAGCTTGGCTCAGGCGCACCACTTCCCGCTGCCCAGCTGTTGGGCCTGTGGGGCCAGTGAGGGCGGCGCTCCGGAGGCCGAAGCTGACGCTCGCACCCGGGGCACCTCAGGGCTTGCGGCAGGGGCAGGACCCCCTCCCGGGGCTGGGGCGGCTCTGGGGACAGGAGACGCGCGCCGGGCCTTCTCTCCAGCAGGCAGCTGGGAGGACGGAGAGCGCATGGCCGGAGCGGGGAAGGGCGCAAGGCCGGGAAGCGGGGTGAAATGGGAGGAGGGTGCATGGCGGTGGAGGAGGGCGCACGGCCTTGGGGTAGAGTAAGAGGAGGGTGCATGTGGGTGGGGAGGGCGTACGGCTGGAGGAAGGAGGTGTACATCCCGGGCGCAGTCACCCCCCGGGGTGACAGGGCCTGGGGGACAAGTCCGCCGTGGGGGAGGGGCGGGCGCGCGGCCCGGCGGGGGGTTCGGGGCGCGGCGGAGGCCGTGATCGCGTGGCCGACCCGGTGTCCTCCGCCTCCCTAGGGCGTCTCAGAACGCACCCCGAAGAGGACAGACGGCCGGGCGGCCCCGCGCCCAGATCCGCGCCCCGCGCCCCTTACCCGCGCTTGCCACGCCGGTCTGTCCGTCAGTCTGTCCGCGAGGGCGGGGAGCGCGCCCCTGCGACGTCACAATGCAAGGCCCCGCCCACTCCGGGCCCGCAGGAAGGCGGCGCGGGTCCTAGCGCTCGCCAACCAGGGCGTGAGGACGCCGAGGACCCGACCCGGCTCCGTGGGGGCGGGAAGGGCGGTGGGCGTTTGGCTCCACCCCTCTAGGCAGCCTGGGTTAGGAAATACCTGGCTGGCTGGGCACGTCTTCGGGTGCCCGAGTGAACCTGTTTCCATCAGCCCCCGCTCGCGAATGGGGTCGGTGTAGACGCAGAGCGCTGCCACCTAGAGCCAAGGACGCAGTCCTGGGGAACCAGAGGGAGCCCTGGCCAGGGAAGTCCCGTCCTGGGGAATGTCGCCGGGCGCCCTGCGGGTAACAGAGGAGCCTGTGCGGGGCTGGCCACGCTGGTCCAGTTCGGAAGTTCACAGTCCTGGAGACCACTGAGCCCTGGAGGAGTCGCACAGGTCCAGCGGGGTTGGGTTTCTCTCCAGGAAACGGAGCCCTGCCCTGTGCAGGGTCATAGACATTTCCTCCATTCCAGGGACAGCGGCCCAGGCGTCACCGTCACCGCGGCGGAAGCTTCCCGGCGCTCTTAGCTGCTGGGCGACTCCGGAGCTGGCATCAGCTGGCATAAGCACACCAGTGTGCCCAGTTTGTTGAGCCTCTCCTTCCGCCTTCGGTTGTATGTGGTCAATCCTCAGGATGCCCGTTGAAAGAAAAGAACAAAGGAATTTCTGAGTGTGTCAGCTCGCCTGGGAGTGCTGGAGTCGAGCCCATCCCAAGACGTGCTAGGGACCCTGGGAGGCCAGCCTCCAGGGCAGAGGACCACAGTCCCTTAGGAAACACTCACACACCAGCTTTGCTGGAGGCTCTTCCTACAAAGGGGAGCATCACAAAAGGGGCACTAAGATGGCAAGTGGGTGGGGGGCCATGGCTCCAAGTGTTGCCGGTCTCCTCCCCAGTTCACCCCTCTCCCAGATCTGGTTAGCCTGGCCTCCTGTTTCCCTCTCTGCTGGCATTGTGGAAAATCGTGAGAATACTGATCTAAGAGCAGGAACACTGACCAGCAGCCTGACCCCAAAGACCTAAGTGAGTACATCTCTCACCTCTGTTGTAGTTTGGAACTTAAGTGTCCCCCAAAGGCCACGTGTTGGTGGCTGGGTCCCCCGCTGATGGAACTCTTGGGATGTGGTGGAACCAGAGGAGATGGGCCTGGTGGAAAGAAGTGAGGTCTCTGGGGACATGCCATGAGGTGGGCAGCTTTGCTCTACCACACACTCCTGCCATGCTCTGCCTGGGACCTCCAAAACCATGAGCCAAAATAAATCTTTCCTTCTTTTAAGTTTATACTCTCAGGTATTTTGTCACAGTGGCAGAAAGCTGATGAACACACCCTCCAACCTCCAAGGCTCAGAGACATTTTCTCTGAGCCAGCACTGTTCAGTGTTCAGCAGCAGAAACCCACACCGGAACAGACAAAAAAGACTGTGGCAGGGTCAAGAGCAAAACTATCCCACCCTCCCCCACATGCTAAATCATCTAGAATGTTCCCATTCCTGACTCACAGGGGCATCTAGGGAGTCACAGCTGCACACCTTGTTGGTCCTGCTCTCTAAGAGGTCATGGAGTCACTCAGGCAAGTTGGCTTTCTACTGCTCAATGTTGCAGGGGATCCCTCCAGGACAGCCTTGCATTCTGGTCCTGGGCCACCCCCACAGACAGAGGCAGACTCTTGTCTGCAGAGCTGGCTTCACATTTTCATGTCCCCTGCCTGGGATCCAAGCAGAAGGATGTCCAGCTCTCCACAGATGCTGCACCTGTACCTACCTCCCGCCTTCCCAAGGAAGCCAGCCACAGTGTGCGGTGAAAAGTGACCTCAGAGATGTCCTGACTCCAACAGCCTGTGAGGGCTTCTGTACACAGAAAACACCAGTTTTTGTTTTTGTTTTGAGCAGATGCAATTAAAGATCTAGAGACAGGGAGATCATCCTGTGGCCCCAAATACAGTCTCATGTATCTCTGTAACAAGGAGGCAGGAAAATTGACCCAAGAAAAGAAGGCATGTAAAGATGGAGCAGATAGGTTTGAAACTGAGGCCTTGAAAGCTGAAGGGATGCAGCCACAGCCAGTGGACACCTGTGGCCAGCAGGTTTGGGATTCTCTCCAGGAGCCCATGGAGGTGCCTGGCCTGCCAACACTGTATTTCCACCCTGTAAAATGATTCAGACTTCCAGCCTCCAGAACTGGAAAGAATAAAGTTCTACTGTTAAAGCCTCCTGGGTTGTGGTCATTTGTTACAGGGTGCTGAGAGCCATTGCCAAGTAGGAATGACGCATCAAAATTTCCTTGCCAGGGCTGGGGATGTGGCTCAAGCGGTAGCGCGCTCACCTGGCACGCGTGCGACCCGGGTTCGATCCTTAGCACCACATACCAACAAAGATGTTGTGTCCGCCGAGAACTAAAAAATAAATATTAAAAATTCTCT